TATCAGAGGACGTGGTGTCTTCCGATGATTTGGCGACGAAGCTTGGGCTGAATCACCAGGAAGTGGTAGGAGCAGCCAAGTCCTTGGAATCGGATGGGTATGTCGTGTCGAAGATTACTACTCGTTCGGTGTGGAAACTGTCGAATGAAGCGCACCAGATCCTTTCCAACGGCAGCCCTGAGTTTAATCTTTTTCAGTTGTTAGAAAACAAAGAATTGAATCAGTCCGAGGTGGAAAAGCGGATGGGAAAATCCCCTGCTTCAATTGCGATTTCCAATGGTATGAAGGCTAAAATTTTGAATATTGCTAATACGAACAACGATGCCATCATCTCACGGCGCGTGCAGAACTTTACAGATACTATCCAGGAGATCCTGAGGCGGGCAGACGCTGGGGAAAAGGTCGAGTCTAATGAGACGGCACTCCTTAAGCGCCGCAAACTCGCTTCGATGGAGATCTCAAAGTTCTTTGAGCTTACCAAAGGCCCAAGCTACGCCGCGGAGCGCAAGAGCAAGGCGGTAGGGGACCTCACCGCGAAGATGCTTCAGGATGGCTCTTGGAGTACGACCAACTTCAAGGAGTACAACTTCGACGCGGCAGCCCCGGATGCCGATATCGGGCAGCTGCACCCCCTGCTGAAAATTCGCCAGGAGTTTCGCGAGATCTTCATGGAGCTTGGCTTTCAGGAGATGGATACGCAGCACTGGGTGGAGTCCTCTTTTTGGAATTTTGACTCCCTTTTCATCCCGCAGCAGCACCCCGCGCGCGATGTTCAGGATACTTTCTTCGTTTCTAATCCTGCTGTGAGCAAAAATGCACATCGTTCCTTTATGGAGCGCGTTCGCGCTATCCACGAAAAGTCCTTTCGTATGAAATGGAAGGAAGAGGAGTCATCGCGAAATGTACTCCGCACTCATACCACAGGGTCTTCTGCATACACTTTATACAAGCTCGCTCTTAAGTCGGGGGTGGATACGGAGGGCCGCTGTATGTTCAGTCCGGGCCGCTACTACAGCATCGATCGAGTCTTTCGCAATGAGCAGATGGACCGCACACATTTGTGTGAATTCCATCAGATAGAAGGCTTTGTTATCGACCGCAATATTTCTCTCGCAAATATGATGCACACCTTTGATAAGTTCTTCCGTCGTATCGGGATCGCGAAGTTGCGCTTCAAGCCCGCCTTTAATCCTTATACAGAGCCATCCATGGAGATTTTTGGCTACCATAACGGCATGAAGAAGTGGATTGAAGTGGGTAATAGCGGTTTATTCCGCCCAGAGCTTCTGGGACCGATGGGTTTTGATGACGGCGTGCAGGTTATGGCGTGGGGCCTGTCGTTAGAGCGTCCAACCATGATTAAGTATGGAATAAACAACATTCACGAGCTATTTGGTCACAAGGTCGATATCAAATTTATTAAGAACGCGGCTATCGCAAGGTTCTAAATAAATAATATCATATAATAAAAGTATCTGAAAAGAAAGATGAAATCAATGCGTAGAAGGTTCTCATAATTATCATTTTTTTAAAGAAATTTATCTTTGATGTTGTAAACAGTATATTGCCTTTGTTTGTACATATATGTGTACTTGCAAGTTTAGTAAATGAAAAGTGCTTTTTATATATTTTAGTGTCTAGGAAAAAATATTTGTAATTATAACTTACCTTTTTATTATTTAACAAAGTAGTCCCCATAAATTTTTAAAAACCGTTTATTGTGATTCTCCCGAGTCAAGTTAAGATTCACCGAAGGAGATTTGAATCATATTGTTTACACCTTCTAGTGCATCGTTATTTCCTTCTTTAAAACTGTTTTTTTTTTTGGTATGTGTTATTGTGTTTTAGCCTTTATGTCTGCACTACTTAACTATTTTCTTGCTTCTATTATTATCCTTTATGATGATTATTACTACTATTATGACTTGATCTTCTAGGAGTAGTAGAAAGAATCGAGTGCTTTGTTTACAGGTGATCTACAATGGTGAAGCCCCATCTTCGGCATTATCAGGTGATCGGCCGGGAGTCCCCGAGCGAGGCCAAACCCGATCCGACCGTCTTCAAATTTGAGGTCTTCGCGCCGAATTTCGTCGTGGCGAAGAGCCGATTCTGGCGAATGATGCGGGAGAAGAACAAGGTCAAGTCCACGCACGGCGACATCCTCTCC